CACACACACACACACACACACACACTCAGAGAGCAGACAAACAGTGCCTGTTTTAGCATGAAGACTGAGCAAAACGAGATAAAATAAAAATCCATGAAGACAAATATGGAAAAGTCTTGTTCGTCCTGGTAATGTTTTGCCCTCTTTCAGCCGTCATTTTATTTTCGGAGGTTATGAATTCACATGAAAGGCAGTGTGTTACTTAAATGCACTGGTGTTTTTCTGTGTGCGCGACAGCGTTTTGTCAGGATCAAAGCTGCAGCGCGCACTTTGCGCAGCATATTTTACCTGCTTGTGCCGTTTGTGTGATGTGAATGTGAAACCGTGCTTGAAGCATCCAGATATTTGAGATACAACAAAGCAAAATCTCATTTAAAAAAAAAAGGAACCACAAATATTTCCCCCCCTCCTCTGTCAAAGCCTCTAAGCCCCGTCTAAAAACAGCCTCGGTATTCTCCCAGAAAAAAAAAATGCAGGAGGGTAAATCTAAACCAAATACTTTCTAGATGAAAGACAGGAGAAAAGCAACAGTTACTTAGACCCACAGACGAGAGAAAGTAAAGCGCTGAAGTGGAGAGATGTAAGCAAATGAACAGCAGAATGCAAAACGAAGTCAAAAAGGGACAGAGTGAAAGACTGATAAAAAGTCTCCWAACATTCAGCGCAGAGCAAAACAGAAAATACAGAAATACCTGAATGTGATATGATTACAGAACAGAGTTAGAGCTGCAGGTTAGTTTAGCTTGTTGAGGAGCCACACGAACACAAGTCACTGTTCCCTCTTATGGCTGCAGGTCACACACCACCCCAAAACTAAAAATACTGGGACGTTATTCAAAATAGAAATAAAATAAAATGTTTACATACCTCAGATTTTACTCAAAGTGGAATAAACTAAATCAAATGCTGAACTTGTGTGGTATATTTTTGGGTAAAAATAAGGTTTTAAAATTTCGGCAGCAACAGAGCTCAACTAAATTTGGGACAGGTAAATGTTTAGGAGCTGAGGAGAGCAGCACTAATTTAAATATTAGTTGCACTAAACCTAAAGCACTAATTCAAATATTTAGGTTTCCTAATTCTGAAGCACTAATATAATCCAGTTGACACATGAAACAATCTTCGGCGTCAACACAACACAGTTACTGTGTGCAGAACGTTGACACTTAGTGTCCTTGCCGGGCCAAATGGGAGTCACCTGCAGGCCACAATTGGCCTGCAGGCCTTGAGTTTGACATGTGACCTTGTAGATAAGTAGCTGCGTTTCCATCGCAAATGTGCACAAAACTTTGTCGATATTCTGTTAAAGACAAAAAACAGTTTCGCAACTGTGGTGTATCCATTAAGTAAGAAATGCTGTTAAAGTCACACGTGAATACGTTTGTTCTCATGATAATTCATTACAAACATGGCGGCCATGGATGTAAACACATAGCATGTTGCTACCACGACACTAGCGCTCATCATCAGAGGAGACGTCG